CATGATATTTTCTGTCATGGACAAGTATTGCTATATAATGTATACATATATGAAGTTAAAAAATCTACCAGGAAATAATTTTTAGACATTAAAATCATGAAAATAAGTGTAATTCCACTTTTTTAAAAAAAACTTGGTTATTGTTAGAGGAGGATTCATTTTCTTTTGGTTCTCCCATTCATCCCAAAATATTAAATTATAGCAGTCATATGTTCCCAGTTTGGGTTTAAATTATCCATGGTGGTGGCATTTCTCATAAAGTTGTATGAAAAAGTTTAATTTGTTTGAAATCAACTAACATTCATAGAATGTCAGTATATGTTAGCAGTTATTTGTTTCAATTTAGAATCTGGTTATATATCCATCTATTTAATAGAACATTATGAAGTAAATACTGTTCTATTTTTGAAGTATCTCTAATGTAGTAAGAAAATACTCTTTATGTAATGTTAAGTGAGAAAAATGAGTCCAATTTTGTCAAAGAAGATACAAAGCAAAAGTGGTAAAGAAATGTACCAACAATGTTTAGGGTGGTAAATACTGGGGGATTTTCACTTATTTTTGAATACTTTAGGATATTCACACTTTTTCTACAATAAATGAATTCTTTAATGATGAACTAAAGATACACTAAATAGAAAACTAGAAAATATGAACAAAAAGTAAAAAAAAAAAAAAAAATAAAGGGGACATAAGGACATCTTTGAACCTACCAATTCAGAACCTATCACTTTTATGTCCTTAAATTCAGGTCCCTGCCTGTGTATTTTTTTAATTAAAGAAACTTGCCTTTCTTTTTTTTTGTAGAAATATATAGACTCTTTAAACATGTACATTTATGAATATTTTATGGGTCTTCTATGTTGTGTCCAGTTTCCTCAGTTTCTCAGGTGCCATTAATTCAGAATTCTTTTGTCTGTGATTCAAGAGTATTAAATGTATGTAATCAAACCTGTCTTTTCCTTTTTGATTTATGCTCTTGATATCTTCTAAGTCCATGATTATGTAAATTATCTTCCTTACAGTTGAAGATTCCTATTTTATAGTTAATAGTTATTTTTTTTTAACTTTCATTAAGATTACGCAATAAAAAAGTCAAACCATACTGTAAATTTTATAATGGGAAGAAAAATTTCACTCCTGGTTTCATTTTCCAGAGGCAGCCATCTTGAACTCTTAAATATTATATGTATTAATTACTGTTTATCAGTTTTTGGACATTCTCTTTGATTTCCTTTTATGTAGAGTAGATGTTTTAGACTACTTTTCCATATATGCATTCCTCTGTACATTCACTTGATATAATTAAGACACAGTGTTGGTTACATATGTGTAACTTACTATATGTAATTTCTTTATTTTTCCTGCAGGATTTCTATGTGGTTGCTGAGATTTCTTTCGGAACACTCATTACATTTATAAAATACTAATTCAATGCTCTCTATCCATACTTTCAACCAAATTTTTAAAATCATCATTCACATGCCACCTATCCTGTGAGCTATATTTTACTTAGCTTCTTATTTTTAGGAGCAAATATAATGGAACAAACCCATCCTAAGAAAGATTTCTGGAGCCATTTGCTGATCCATGTCATTGATATTTCCCTGTGCCTCTCCCTTTATTGACGGGTATTGTCCTGGCGCTGTGCATGCTTCCATCTCATCACTCCCTCTGTACATTGCAGTAACTCTCGCCTGACAGACTGCTTAGGGTGTGTACAAGACATCTGGCCTTTTGGTGATTCATGCTTTTTGATGTGACGTGACAGGCCACGGTGATCCGTCATCCCACAATAATCATGTCAATGCCTTCCTGACTGAGTGAGCCTAGACCCTTTTGCAGAGTTTGAATAATGTTAAGATTGGTGCCTTTTTCATGTTCTGAGATGGAAAGAGTTGACCTACTCATCTCTTTAGCAAAGTCTTTGGCTTGCTGAATAGTTGGAGGCCAAATCATATTATCTCTGTGTGCCTTGGAAGAGATCAGATTGGTTGTGCTTCCTTTTGGGCCTAAAACTTTTTTGGACTCTGCTTCTGCTGTTCAAAAAAGGAGGATGAATCATTTTTGTAGTATAAGAAAATGACGTTATTCTTGCTGGACCAGAGGCATTAATTGCCTTTCTTTATTCTGTTAGGAGAGAAATGATTTAATTAAGAATTAGGAATTTGGGAAAGGATTTGTTGGAAGATACCCATTTATATATAAAACTATCAAGAAGGTATGAATCTGGAATTCTCCCTGTTTCTTCGATTTTACTTATTATACATGTTACCCCAATTACTGAATAAATTCGAAAGTCTTGATCAAGGGCACTGTTTGGAAGTATTAGTATGCCTGCAATGCCTTAATTCTCCCACTAGCTTAGACCACTCTGGTTAATATATCCTGCTTCCAAAAACAACAGAGAAGAGAGTAGCTGGAGTGGTGAGAGGCATGGAGATAATGTCACATGAAAAATAAAGATATCGGCATGTAGCTTGATAATGAAAGTCTGCCTCCAGTAGGAAAAGTAAGTTTTATTTTCTAGTTTCAGAGGGCAGAAGTAGAAGTACAGGTTTTAGAAGGAGAAGGTTGATAGTAAAAGAGCAGTAACCTGGAGGTAGATACTCATGGAAATGCAGTACAGGGAAGGAGAAAACAATGAGTACTGAGCAGGAGCCCAGGCTGAATGCTGGGATGGGAAAAACTGGAATAAGGAAGGCAAAACTAGAAGGCAGAGGCCTTCTAGACTTGGGTGGTCTTGGTTGAGAGATGTGGTTCTCTGTGTATCTTCTCAAGGACATCATAGATGTTTTCTTTTGGAGGCAAAGGAAACCACTGGATGGCATTTACTCTTCTTTTTTAGTCACTATTAGACTCTAATGCATACTTACAGTGGCAGAAGATTTAGTGATCCATGGAGACAAGATATCTTTTGATATAAATAAGGTGATGTGACGTTGGTAGTGACAAAGTTCTTATAACAGACTGAGTTTTCTGTGTATAACACTAACTAATGAAACATCTAAACATACAGGTCATAACTTGCTTTCATTTTTTTTTTTAAATTTCAGGACATCAAATGGATATTATAAAGGGCAGCTTAGATGAAATTTCAAAACCAGCTTCAAGTTCAAGAACACGTGTTGGGAGTCGAGGTTCAACTGCGTCTTTGGAGGTGCTTTCACCAGAGCCAGGGTC